GAATTTTTTAGGCTTGAATACTCAACTTGTATGCTGTAATTTGCAGTAGATTATTTAAATCGAGAGATTTGAAATCTTGCCCTACTTTTCCAAATGATATTTTTGTAATAAATCCTTTTTTCATTGCCATTAAGCATTTTTTCCAAAAATAACTTTTTTCAGCGTCAAGCAAAAAAAATGCAAGTGTTTAAGCCTGGATTGAAATTAATTTGTATAAATTCATGTGACGTCCATTGTCTTAATTCTTGAATTTTTATTAAGGCTAGTGACATACGACGATTGGTCAACCTCAAATTTACCTGCTAATTCATACAAAATAAACTTTTAAGCTATGAATACCATTCCTAGCACATGTTTGCACCTACAGCTTAATTATCATAAGCTTCAGTTATCGATTGCTTGATCCACTGCACTTTTTGCCAGATTAAACTTTAGTCAGCATTTATATTCAGACATTATTTTTCGGCTATATAAAGTAAGATTATCATATTTCTGCACACAATTATTGACGTATATAGATGCATAAGCAATAAAGAAGTGAATACACTTTTGAAGACACTTCTAAGATTTCTCTAACACTGTGAAAAGAATGTTCTGTGTACCTTTGTCTCAGCTTAAAGTCTGTAATGAAAAAGGAAATAAAACCAGGCAAGTGATCCCATTCTTCCTAAAAATCTCAAAAGCGCTTAACATCTCCTTCCACCCTAAATTCCAATACAGAACATGCACAAACATCTCTAGTAATGATGATTCACCTTCAAGCCAATGATATAGCTTGCTAAACAAATAAACACTGACACCACCAAGTTTTATAAACAGATAGGTAGAATTCTGTTGACTGTGATAAAGCCATTTGCAAGAAATAACCATATACAATTCTTTGTATGATAATTCATGGCTCCCATCTCCTCTGTTGATTCATTTGTTAAAATGTTTTCCATTATAGTATGTTGGCTTCAAAGTTTTGTGTAAGGGAAGAATTGGTAAATGAGAGAACTCATCTGAAGGGGACTGCAACATTAAAGCTCCTTCCGTGAACCTTGATGCCTGGCACTTCTGGACCTTTTTACATTTACTGATAATTGATACAACAATAATTAATAAAAATGAATATGCTACTGCTACTGTCTAAATGATTGGATTTCTCTGTATTTTTGAAAACAAGAAATTATGAATTATATATGCGTTTAAAACTCAGTAAATTTAAAAATAAGTTATTCCAAAATTTGCTTGAAGATGAAACAGTACTAATTTCTTTTAATTTATTTATATAATTAAATTTGAAGTTTTAGCTCCAATTTTTGAAACATGGTAATTCCTGTGTAGCGAAGAAACCATATTTTAAATCAGTTAATTTATAATATTTATGCTCTGTAAATTTACATTGAGCATTGTTTTGTAAAAATAAAAATATCAATAAGAACACCAGATTATATATCTTACTGTTCTTTGTTTTTTATTATATATATATATATATATATATATAAATTTAAATAAAACAGACAACTTTAAGGTTCCATGTTTAGGTTTACCCATACGGATTACCTTGTTTTTAAATATAAATATATATATATATATATATATATATATATATATATATATATATATATATATATATATATATATATATATATATATTTAGTTTAGATGATGAGTTTGTGACCTGGGTTTCACACTTTAGCAATCGTCAGACAAACACGTTTGTCTGACGATCACTAAAGTGTGAAACCCAGGTCACAAACTCACATCTATCCAACCAAATATGTTAACTCTATCTCTGATATTGCTTTCTAATAAAAGTACCGTGCATATAATATATAAATAATTATATCTATCTATATATATTTATTTATATTTATATACACACTTTTCAAAACACACACACACACATATATATATATTACCTAGTTTTTCATAAATATATATATATAACCTAGTTTTTCATGAACTAAATATATATATATATATATATATATATATATATATATATATATATATATTTGTGTGTGTGTATGTATGTGTACATGTGTCTTATTATAGTTGATTTAGTGTGAAGCACGCAAGCACTTATTCTATTTGCACACTCACTACCTTTCCCATATTGCTATACCATGTTGAGATGGTAAGAATTATTCCTGCCACTTTCGACACATGTCTTCACTCATTATTTATTTAGTGCTTACCCATTTATTCTGATATATAAAAAGCCACATCTGTGCTACCCATATTTGAGGATGAATCAAGTAATGACATTGCTCAAAACCAAATCACAGCCATCATATGTAAAAAATAAAAAAAGGAAAACTTTTCTTTACCAATGCATTGTGTCCATTGAGGAACTTTACCTTGATAAAGTTCATTAAAAGATGAAACGTGTTGGTAAAGAAAAGTTTTCCTTTTGTCTCTTATTCCTATTGTTTTAAAAAGATATATTTTACTTATATCTGAATTTTTACATATACACTGACACACACACTACTGGACTCTCACATTGTTTTTGATGTACGAGGGTCAAGCAGCACAGTTCTTGGAACCAACAGTCAGATTACCCGCACATATCATTTGATTATAGTGGTGAAGGCTTGTGCAGTACCATCCACACTTTTTTGAATAGCTGAATACAGAGAACTGGCACACAGTATGCCACAAGTTCCCTAAATGACCCTCCGTAGGTTTTGAATTCAGAGTTGCCCTTCTTCTAGACTGGTTGCTACCAAAGGCTATAGAACCCAATCTGTACTGCTATTTACCCACAGAATTCGAATTAAGCTCTCCAATTCTTCAATCTGGGTCACAATCTATTACTTTACCATATATAAGAATAATTAGGAAAACCCTCAAAAATCTATAATCATAATCAAAATTACCCAGTATTGCCTGGGTGTACATGGCTGCAATTGTATAAACACTTCCCCACCTGTATATACACACCTCCTGTCTAGAAATGTCTGCCAAAGTCCCTGCTTGCATCCATTGGTATGCTAAGCTACTCCACCCCTCCATTTCTTTTATAGTATGTTCTTCACAAGTGTTTGATTGTTATTAATAAAGGAATTCTATCAATAAAACCTTCTTATGTGGTTGTTGCTAAGGGTTAAATTATTTTAGATATTCAGTAGATTTCCTATGGCCATAATAACTTTCAAATAGTCTGGTATTGTTCACAAATCATATAATCGAACAAAAACAGGGATGAAGTGACAGAACTTGATTCAACTGCAAGTGCAAAATGCATGAATACACCCGCTCCCTCCTTCTTTGCACGTTTAATGTAAAGATGGGGCTAATAAGTGGTTCTTTGGGAATTTTTCCCTTTTAATGCTTAAATAATCCTTCTCAAAAATATTTGCTTCAAAAGGTTGTTTGAATGCCAATTCAAAATGAAATCATTTGAAGAAACTATTGGCTAAATGGCAAAATTGAACCTAGTTTGCCACGGATTTCGTCTAGTTAACTAAAATAATCTAAACATTCATGCATGACAATTTATGTGTCATATGTAATTTACATAACACATTTGGTAATCATTGGATGAAAAACCAGAGAGTTATGGCAAAAAAACCCAAGACTTTTTGAACAGTTTTGCGTGGTTTTTCGTTATACATGGAGAAACAAGCAGGATTAAAACCACACTATCTTATTTCTTGTATGATAGTGACATGTTTGAAGAAAATCAGATAAAAAATGAGGAAGTTATTCAAGTTTTTATTTTAAGTAGTATGAAAAACTCAATTTTTTCAGTTTTTGCAATATTTTGTGACGCCAATGTCACAGGAAAACTATCAAGCACTCTACATAAACCTCGTAACATAAGCTGATGTTTTGCATTAAGTGCAAAGAACATCAGCTCATCCAGTAAAAATTTTGTTTGTGTGTAACTTTGCTTTGGTTTTTGAAAAAGTTGTACCTACCTTCAGTTTTTTTAATTTTTCTGCCAAACCCATGAGGCCTGGAGATTGAAAAGTTGGCCTCTGATCCTATTTAGTAAATTTGCAACATGTGTGTAGAATTTCATCAAAATCGGTCAAGAAATGTGGAAGGGTATAAATAACATACACACACAGAGACAACTTTTGTTTTTATATATATATATATATATATATATATATCCAAGTATAGGATTGGTGTATACGGAATAAATTCCAATCACAAAAAAATACTATTTCAAAAGAGTGATCAATACAGAGTAGAGCAAATACAATTATTTATTTGAAAATTATAACATAAATATGTTATAAAATCACTACAAAAATAGCCATTTTGTTTCAACACTTCTGGTGTCTTATCAAGTGATTCAAGACCATCACTTGATAAGATACTAGAAGTGGCTATTTTTGTAGTAATTTTAATAATTTTCGAATAAATAATTTATATATATATATATATATATATATATATATATATAATGTGTAGCTGTTCTGGAAAGTTTTCAATTCAACATACCTTTCTCGAATTTGATGTTTGAATACATTTTGTGAAAACTGGTTGAACATTACACAATTAAAATTTCAGATCAACTACATATGTTACAGACTTATTTTGATCCACACTTGTACATTCATTATATTTATATGAGTGTGGGTTAAATATGGATCAGAATCCAACAAATAGGAAATGTTTATTTAATGTTTCACTTTTATTAAAGCTTCATCAGAGAATGAGATCAAGAGAAAAAGAAATTCTGGTATTTTTACTTTTGTGTTTGTTAATCAGGTTTCACATGCATTTGATTTGTTATACTAATGTTTGCTTAGCAAAATCTCTTCTTTATCTGCAAGGAGAAGGCTCAGAATACACTGTCATCCAGGAGGACTGATATTATGTAACAGTCCAGTCTTCTTTTCTTTGTTTCTAATGAAATTTTGCTGTTTCTTTGCTTAGCATTTAAAAATGCTCATTTGATTTGCAATAAAATTCATACATTTTCTTGTCTGTCTATTTATTTCCTTGACAGTGAATTTTAACATTTTTGTTAATATGGTTTCATGGAATCCCATCAGCTCACTTTATCTTTCAACCTGATTGGTGGGAAGAGAAGGATTTGTTTTTCTCTGTTTCTTCAACAAGGACATATCATGTAAATTATTTACAGTAATATCCTTGTGTTCTGGATAAGACAATAACCTACAAAGCCTCTGATCAGGTTTTAAGAAGCATGGAACCACCTCTTAATTGTTCCCAGGTCCACCCTGACCAAGGGTGGTAGCACCTGTTAGGGTCTCAGCAATGGGCAAATAGTGGATACCCCAAACTAGAGTCAAAACACTATGAAAGTCTAAAAATAGGTTTTAATACCAGCAATACATTTTTGTAAAAGGTTATTACCAGCAATTAATTTTTGAAGAAAAAAATTATTACCAGCAATACATTAAAAAAAAAAAAAAAAAATATTAGCAGCAACACATTTTCGGAAAAAATATTACCAGCAATAAAAATCTTGTTGGCATTAAATGACCCATAGATGTTGGTATGCCGTAAAACAAACCAAATCAAACGTAATATCCTCATCTTAGTAATGTCCTCATCTTGTGTCTTTTGTGCCCTCCAGTTCCCTTTGTGGGTCTTTTGTGCCCTCCAGTCCCCTTCATGGGGCTTTTGTGCCCTCCAGTCCCCTTCGTGGGGCTTTTGTGCCCTCTACTCCTCTTTGTGGGGCTTTTGTGCCCTCCAGTCCCCTTCGTGGGGCTTTTGTGCCCTCCAGTCCTCTTTGTGGGTCTTTTGATTAGAGTATAAAGTTCAGTTCAAAATTCTCTGAAAATTAACCAGATTGACAGACATTGGAACAAAGGTAGAAGGCATCACAGCTGAAATGTTATAAAAGCTGAGGACATTAGTAATGGTGAGAAACTGTTTCCTTATAAGGAAACATTTGCCATTCATTGATGAAATTGTTAGCACAACAAACTGTTACAAAACCAAAACTTTTTTTTTTTTAAGCATTTCACCCCAAGCAAGGCAAGAGTGCCTCTAGCACACAAGGGGTTACAGAGAGTGAGAGTAAGAGTAAAGAGGCATGATAGAGGAAAGGATGAAGAGAAGGACAGGAAATTAGATCAAGGCATCTGAAGATGTCAATTGACATTGAATAGTTGGAGATTATAGCTATCAGGGAAGCAAGTAAGAGGAAGGGAGTTCCACACACAGGAAGTGTGAGACATGAAGCTATTGGATTAGAAGAGATGGCTATATTTAACAGTTTTGACAATGAAATGTTGGGACTGAGATGCCAACCTAGTAGCACGTTTAAATTCATGCAGTTTGGGAACTAGTGAAAGTAGCTTGTCGGTGCAGTTAACATGAAAGTATTTGTAGAAAAGACAGAGGGAGGTGATGACACTATGAGAGAGGTGAAATGCAAGGGTGAATGGTTGATTTATAGATTTGAAGGATGAACTCAGGTGAGAAAAACTTTCTGTCATGAGACAGAGAACCAACTTTCCTTGCGGTAGATGAATCTATTGATGCAATGTATTCATTCCATCTCAGTGGACAGTGTGAAACTAAACAGTTGCAGAGAGTTGGACATCAGATATTCTAATGGGAGGCAGGAAGGGTTCTCTGTGGTGGGTAATAGAGAACAGAGGTCCTTTTCGAGACCAACGGCCAGATTAGTTTTGTCAGCGATACCAGATTTGCTACTTAGGTGGGAGTAAATAGTAGTGTCATCTGCATAGATGTCTACTTGGGAACTGATGACATTGGGAAGATCATTAATGAGGATAAGAAACAGTGTAGGAACAAGGATAGAGCCTTGGGGAACACGTTACCTTGAAAACTCAAGTCATGTTCTTAAAGAGATTTTCATATGGATGACCTGCATAGCCACCAACACATTCATAAATATCTTCTGTGTACAACCACTTTCTAAAAGCAATGGTTAAAAATAGCTTTGAGTGAGTGAAGTCTGTAGATTTTTTCAAAGGTCATTAAAACTTCAAACCTTGTGAATTGATGCTACAGAATCACAAAGAACAGTACCAGATAAGAGACACCAGATCATTTGAAGACTAACAACAGCTAAAATGGATATCACATGTAACTTGAAGAGAAAATAATGACCTAATCAAGATGCTGACATTCCACACTACTTCAAAAAAAAGATTAGGAAGGAAATCCCCGTCAATACTGCAAAGAGCAATAACAGCTACTGGATTTTAGAAAACTAAAAAAAATTGCTTTAAGAGAAAGATTTTATAAATTTCAACTGACAGTAGTACTGGCTGCTTGGTTAATGAATGCCAAATGTTTCCTTATAAGGAAACAACTTATATTAACATTAGCATTACTGTCAGTTGAAATTTATTAAATCTTTCTTATAGAAAAAATTTACAGGTACATAAATTCTCAAATCCACTCAATGTTATAGCTCTTTCTAGTACTGAGAGTTTCCTTGCTAAACTTTTGTTTAAGTGTGGAAATCTAACATCTTGATTATATCATTGTTTTATAAAAGACACCTTATTGTGTAAGTATTTTTACAATCATGATGAAGTAAAGATCATAATTCTACTTGCTTATACACATGTCTCATCATTGCAGTCATGTCACCAGAAAAATAGATTTTATTTCAAATCTACAAAATCAGCTCCCAAGTAGGTATCTATGCAGATGACACCACTATTTATCCCTGCCTCAATAGTAAATCTGGTATTGCTGACAAAGCTAGCCTGGCCACTGGTCTTGAAAAGGACCTCCAATTGGGGCAAGAAATGGTTGGTTAACTTTAATGCTTCAAAAACAAAATTGATTGGTTTGAATCAATAGCTTCATCTACTGCAAGGAAAGTTGGTTCCAGGTGCTGCACCAGAAAGTTTTTTCTCACCTGAATCCATCCTTCAAATCAACCATTTGCCCTTGCATGGAATACTGCTGCCATATATGGTCTGGAGCCCCCGCTGTTCATCTCAAGGTCCTCGACAAAATCCAGAGATGGATATGCAAAGTGATTGGTCCTGATCTGGCATCTTGTCTACAGCCACTTTCTCACAGCCATGCCATCGCTTCCCTCTGTCTTTTCTACAAATACTTCCATGGTAAATGCTCTGACGAGCTACTTTTGCTGGTTCCCAAACTACATGAATTTAAACGTGCTAATAGGTTGGCATCTCAGTCCCACCCTTTCACTGTCAAAACTGTTAAATGTAGTCGTCTCTTCTACTCCAATAACTTCATGTCTCGCACTTCCCGTGTGTGAAACTCCCTTTCTCTTACTTGCTTCCATGATAAATATAATTTTCAATTATTCAAATGCAATGTCAATCAACATCTTCAGATGCCTTGATCTAATTCTTCATCCTTCCCTTCATCCTTTCCTCTAACATGCTTCTTTACACTTGCTCTCACTCCCTGTAACCCCTTGCGTGCTAGTGGCACTCCCACCTTGCTTGGGGTGAAATACTTAAAAAAATGTGATTCATGTTAAGCAGCTGAACATTTGATTTTACTTTACCACTTTAGAAAGGATATTATAACTAATTTTAACTTGTTATTTTATTTTCTATTTATTCATTTATATATGTCCTATTATAGAAGGGTGAGGAGGCACAGTGGAGTAATGGATAGTGGCTCGGATTGAGGAATCTGTGAGCTGAATCAATTATATTCACTTATGTGCTAATACCCTTGGGAAAGGTATGAATCTTCTTCTCCCTCCAGCTATTGTTAAATAGCAGGACAGACCAGGTTTTATAACCTTGGATGGCAACTGGTCTTTCGCAGAAAGAAATGGCAACCTAATGCAGGAAAAAATTTGCCTCATCAGTCATGTATTGAAAGATATGTGATCGCCTAAGCATGTATTATGTGTGGCACATAACTGACTGATTACAGAATGATATCAATTTCTGTATGGCAGTGCATACTGGACGATCATCTCAAAGATGAAGAGGAGATTTGAATTAACAGAAATGTGACTCTACAGAAGGCTGCTGAGGATTCCATGAACTGAACATGTGAGTAATAAAGTTTTGGATAAAATGGAAACAAAAAGGAAACTAATACTTCATATCAGGAAGAGACAATTGAGGTTTCTGTGGCACATAATGAGGAAGGAGGGCTTGGAAAAAAGAATTTTATCTTGAAAAAGTATATTGCCAGTACAAAATGTGGAGTGTAATCTATCACATGAACCAAGGCAGGACCTATGATAAGTGAGTGAATGGTAGGTAGAAGATAGGTAGACATTTCAAAAGAAATTGATATTCTTATTCTAAATTTAAAAACTCTCTCCTGTGTTTCATCTCTGTGCATTATCAAGAGTTGCAGCAAAGAGTAAGCTTGCTTGCAAAACAATTGGGTTAAAGTGTAGGTCACTTACCACACTAATGAGTCACCAGGGACATCATCAGTGGCAAGGAAATCAACAATAAAATTGTGGAAATGTTTCTACTCAGACATGAATTGACTTTCAAATATATAACAAAAAATCAAATAGGCAACTTTTATTAATCTAACATATTTTACTTTTATTAAAGCTTCACTGGAGAATGAGATATGGAAAAAAGAAATTCTATTCTTTAACTTATTTTTGTATTGTTCAATTTTCATTGGATAATCAGGCTTCATGTTTATTCGACTTGTTAAACCAATGTTAGTATTATTGATGTTGTTCTGAATTCCAGAACAGAAAAGTAAAAATACCAGAAATTCTTTCTTTGTTTTCTCCAAATCTAATTATTTGATGAAGCTTTAATAAATGTGAAACATGTTAGATGTTTCCTATTTGTTTTATATCTTATTCTGTCAGATAGATTCATACTTCATACTAATATATATATATATATATATATATATATATATATATATATATATATGGAATGGAATCTATCTATCTATTCTCCTTCCAGCCACGAGTGAAATAGCAAGGCAGACTGGAGAGTATAGCCATGATTGGAAACCAGTCTAGCAGCATGACAACTGAATCCAAAACCCATGTACCTGAAGATGTACAAAGATGGTTAGACATGGGGTGTTAAGCAAAAATACAAAAGATTTCAACAACTACTGAGGATTCCACTGAAAACCAGTTATTCAGGAGACTGTTGACACCAACTGTGTGTGTGTGTGTGTGTGTGTATATATATATATATATATATATATACACACACACACGCTCTTTTCATTGCAATCTGGTCATCTCTTGGCAAAGATTTCTTTTTATGAAGCATAATGTTGCCATATATGATAGGCAACAATAAACTACCGAAGAACTCAAAATTGATTGCTGCATTTAAGTATTACATTAATATTTAAGCTTACTTTAAAAAGTTCAACAATAATTCTTCTACCGCCATTTAATTTAAAGACAATTTGATGTGCATAGATCCTTACTTTCTGTACAAACAATTATTTTATTGCATGGGTAACTTTTGCTGGATTTGACAATTAATTTTGATTATTCCCAAATTTATTTCCAAGTTATAAAAATTGTTATCATACAAAAAAAAAAAAGAAGATTTCAGAAAACAATTGCAGTAATGAAAACTTAGGAATCCAAAATTTCTGTAACATGAGCTATTGAAATTTAGAGAGATGTCTGGTTTTTTAAATTCAACATGAAAAAGTTGAAAAAGTCACTGTGTCTCCCTTTCATTGAAAAAGGGAGACACACTGACATTGGCATTTATTATATAGTAGAGGAGAAATGCAAATCTACCAGGTTTATATATCAAGCGATTATTTACCCAAAGTAAATATGAAAAATTATAATGTTTACATTGGAATGTCCACAGGGGAATGGAAACAGAGATTTTATACCAATAGGCACTCATTTTCTAACCCTAAACTAAAACACCAAACAGACCTTTCAAAAAAAAAAAAAAAAAAAATTGGGAATTGAAGGAGAAATGTTTGAGCCCACAGATAGTTTGGAAAATTATAGGTTCTACACATACTCCTAATAGTCTAAGAGATGGGTGTGACTTTGTTTAAAAGAAAAAATTAGAATAATAAAATACAATAATCAAAGCCAACTATTGAATCCAAGGAATGAATTATTGTTAAAATGCTGACATAAAAACAAATTCAAATTTCTCTAATATGGGTGTAACTTAATTAGCTACCATAATTCCATAATATTCACTTTCCTCTAACTCTTCATATGTCGAATGTATAACTAATTCTAATTTCTGTATTTTCTTCCTCTATAACCTTGTTACATATATTATAATTTATAAACTTTCCCCTACTCTAAGATCTTCCCAACTCTTTTTCTATAAATCCCTTACATCCTTTTATCTATGTTTTAAAGTTATTTTTAAACCCCTTTTAATTCCTCTTAATTTAATATTTCATCATATAACCCCAAATTAATGTCATAAGGTTAATATTTGGGTTTAATTTTATAAAACTTCTTCCCTTTAAGAAAAATACCTTCCACCCTCCCCTGACCCCTGTCTTGTGCCTTTCATCTGATAGAAACATTGAAATAGATAAATTTTGTATTAGTTTTTCAACAGGTTGTTTTTTTTTTAGCTGTCACAGTTAAATTCTACTTTCCACCCCACCTAACTGTATAGGCACAAACTCACTCCACAACGGGGTTGATAAGACAGATGACCAATATCTTCATCTGCCAAAATAGGCAATTCCCTATATGATGTAATTTTGGATTTTATTGTTTTTAATATATATATATATATATATATATATATATATATATATATATGGGGGATATCTCTAATAAAAAGTGATGGAAAGAAAAAGAATCTAAATGAAATCAGTGAGATTAAAAAAAAAAAAATTTAAATCCCAGCATCCCACATTCGTGCTCATGTGTAGTTGCACCAACATAAATTTAATTTGATGAAATCCTAAAGGATGAAATGTGTCACAAGAATATTTTTTTCCTCTTTGTTATACATATTGCCCCAGTATTGTTCCTACAGACACACACACACATATATATACATATATATATATATATATAATCGAGTAATTCATCAAGTCTGAAAAATATATATATATATATATATATATAGGCAGCATATTTTCATTCAAGCATGTTTGGATAAATAATTTAGACATATTATGTCTTTTTATTTCAGTTTTAATCCTTTTAAGTCCACAAATTATTTTCTTGATAGCTGTAGAAAATTGATCAAGAAAGATTCCAAAATTTTCTTTCAAATAATTATTATTTTCCCAAGTACTTTGAATCTCAACTGAGACTATCTTCAGTGGCTGCATATCCATGGATGTGTTATGCATTAACACCATAAATTCAAAATACTTTTTCACTGCTATGCAAGGGAGCTAACTTATGTGATTTTTATAATTTTTTTTAATTGTAGTATTCTAATTTAGCCTAACATTTTGCTGCTGCAATCATTTAAGAGCTTTTTTGCTATACTCCTAGTTGATTATTTATTTTTGGCCACAATTTTCTTATATAAAGGGCTTCCAGAATTTTTAAGTTTTTCTTGATGAAGCTCTCATGTATTTTTGACTAATATCTGTCTAAACTGTGAATGTGGACTTAAGTGTTCATTTAAATGTTCTGAGATTGAACTATTTCAAGTGAAATGTTAGGCTTCTCGTTGTCATATGTATTAACTTTTTTATCAGAAATGCAATCTACCAAAGGACATTTAAATTGAATACGATATTGGTCTTTTGTAAGACGCTAGTTGAGAGAATTGTTATGGATGACTAGGTTGGTTGTATTAAATTTAGTATATTATATAATTAACTTTATCTTTTTACTTAGATCAGTGGGGGATTTATTAATGTTTATGAGTCTTTTTAGAATTTTGTCCTCCTTATTATAGTTAGAATGCATTTGATTACAGTATAGTAGTTTGTTAATAGTTTGTTTAGAGTCATTTGAATTAGCATGGGATGAACTTGACAGAAGACTGAAAAAATATGTAAAAGAGTTCTTAAAGTCATTGAAAAAAAGAATGGAATCAATTATCAAACTTATATTTTGAGAAACTTTTGCAAGGAATGTCAAAAAGTTGTGCTGCAGTAATCAAGGCTAAAGTAGAATATTTTGACAAGAGCAAAATTAAATTGTAAAATGCTTTTTTTCTTTTGGTCATAAAATTTCTAATAAAAATCATGTCTCATTTTTTTAACCATGTATAATGATTTTCTTACATTTAAAGTACAAAACAACTACTTTTAGGTCCAATTTAAAAAAAATTACCAGGGATTCCCTCAAACTTTTGAACTCTAGTGTATATTTGAACCCTTATATATAACCGTGTACACACACACACATAACTATATAATGTGCATATTAGAGACATTTTTGTGAGGTGTCTTTTTGCTTATACATACATTTATACACATATGTAGACACACACATATATATATATATATATATATATATATATATATATATGAGCTGTTGGTGGGGTGTCTGTAAGTTTGCTCTTTGTACTTCCTTGGTGTACACTGCTAGCAGAGTGGCCATATTTACATTGTAACAGCAGCAAGAATACTTTGAGGGTCAATTTAAAAATTTACCAGTGGTGGTCCTCACACTTTTGAACTGTAGTGTGTGCATATATATATATATATATATATATATATATATATTATCATCCAAAGACTGTTTCACTATATCACAGCTCATCAGTGTGGCTAGACATCTGGTTGCCTATAGCTAGGATCAAAATCTGGCTGAATTGGTGTCAGTCGGAGATTTTATCCCTAAGCTGTCGATGCATAGTGGGGATGAAGGTGAATTTAAGCCTATTTATTTTTAGATAAACACAAAGTGACTGAGAGAACTCAATTCACTTTACCAAAGAGTCTTGCATTATTAGCCGTAATAGTCTCTGTTTATAAACTCACACTTCCTCCCCAGAGAGCTCAAATATTCTGTCTTTTCAAATTTCTTTCACTGGCCTACTATACCTATTTTCTTGATAGAATACCTATACTATTTTTTATACCCCTAAGAAGCATACATGAACAGTCTCTCTCTCTCTCTCTCTCTCTCTCTCTCTCTTTCACTTGCCCACTGTCCTATCTTGCATTTGGTTGTCATGAATCAGTTATAAGTAGAAATCTATAATACTAGACCTAGTTTTTCTTTTCTAAGAAACCTGTAATTACTAATTATAGAATTAATTAACACTGAATTTTACATGAATCGGTTAAATATTTCCAGTAGTTTTTGACATTGTAAGTAAAGTAGTTAATAAAACTTGGCAATGCTTCAGTCCAGAAATTTTAAATAATTCTATGATTAACACGAGTTTGATGGGTTTTAACATCATGTAAAAGTAATTTTCTTTTTCATGTTGAATTTAAAAACCAGACATCAAGTTGGAAAATCATTTCATGTTGAAGAATCTAATCTATGATAAGAAATTCTGTGTGTGTGTGTGTGTGTGTGTTATATATATACACACACACATATCTATATATATACACACACACACACTTTATTTTAGGATATTACATTGAAAACATGTCAAAATCGCTAAACAATTGCAGTTGTGTTTCAATGCGCATACAATGCGTCTCATTACTGGTGAGTGAATAATTTAATCAGATTTAAAAGCAAAATGCAGCCTCTTTTTACAAAAAACAAAAAAAAAAAAAAAAGAAGAGGGGTTTATAAGGTTTGTGGGCTTTGCTTAGATCAACCAATCAAATATGACCTATGCTAAAATTTATACTAAGGGAAGAAGCAAAACTTAAGAAATTATTTTCCATAAATGGGTCATGATCTGTAGGTTTGAAATCAATGACAGCAACAGACGTTAAACAGGAGCGGATGTGGATAGCTATATATTGTACATTTAAACAATGTCATTTACTAAGAAAAAATGAAGTGGTAATCTAACAAAATGCTAGAAAAGTTATATGCTTTGTGAGTTTCCTACATAAGAACCATTTTTATAGTTGATAAATAAATAGCTTCTTTAAGAAACCAGTAAATAAATTAAATCTATAGACTTATTTGTTAAATTAATATGCAACTGTTGACTAAAGATTCTTTATATAAGGTGTTAATAACAATAACTAATCAATGCAAAATGTCAAAATACCAATCAAATACCAATACATCCATACAAGTTATTACAAACACTACCAAGAGATTAATACAAAACTATTAAATCTGAAATCTAAATTAATACCAACAGAAAGATAAGCCATATATGGTGCAATACAGTTCAACTAAAATCTAAGAAAAATCATTGTTAAATTCCAAATCTAACTGAATTGTAAGGTAAAAAGGTAGACAGTGTTTACAATTTACCATTAACTCAGATCTTTGGTTTAATAAAGCATTCTTACCAAAGGACTTGATAATTTGTAATTTTTCATGTAAACACAGAAAACAGATTCCATGTAAGGATCTACATTTCCCTGCCATTTTTTAAATTTTCCATTTCACCTTAAGAATTTTATTATCATCTTTTATATTCCAGAAATGTTTACAATGTGATGTATTATTTCTATAAGTATTATTAATAAAGGGCAATATATGTTGATATAACCTAGTTTTGAAAGAATTCTTAGTACTACCAATATAGAACTTTCCAACCATCAGATTTTCCACTGTAGAGATAGAACAAAGATAAACAAGTGATTTAGTTAAACATCTGTTTGTCAATGGACACTGATCAGGAATCCTACAATTACAGTATCCTTAACAATGTTCTCCTTGGACCTTGTATTATGATTCAGCTTATTAAATTGGTTTAGAATTTTATTGTTGTGTAACTTTATGATCTTCTCATGATTATTGGTGCAGCTACAACTTAGTTTTAATGTTTTTCTATTAAATATTTTACTAAGAGGGTTACTTTTAGTAAAATGTTTATTAAAAAAGGTTTATAAAAATATTTATCAGAAACACATTAAAACCAAGTTATAGCTGCACTGATAACCATTAGGGTGGGTGTTTGGTAACTTTGCCAAAAACCACCTGATGAAACCATAAAGATGAAACACGGGTCATGTTAATAGTGAATTTTTAAATCATACATTATATATATATATATATATATATATATATATATATATATATATATGAAATTATTATTATTATTATTTAAAAATATGTATTCATCATGACACAGAAATTACAATGTTTTGGAGCTAAAGACTAAACTGTAAATTAAACTTAAAATTAAAGTTTTTGTTTCATTCTCAAGCAATGTTGTATAACTTTCAAAAAAATGATTTACTTTTTTTAAGCTAAATAGTATTATATAGTTTAAGTTGGAGGAGGAAAGGGATTACAAAATTTTTAAAAAATTCAGTATAATAATATTATACTCTACTGTGTATCAAGCAATGGTTTTAAAAATCAATGCTAACTGAGTGGTGATGGTGTTTCATGCTTGAATGCTATCTTCAGGCCATGTGTGCTGTTTTAGCTTGACTATATATGTTAGTCTTTAGGGCATTATGGTTTGCAAAATCAGTTATAATGCAAACTGGAAAGAACTGATTTTGCTATCCATAATGACCCAATATGGAATTTCTTGGGAAAAAGCTGAGTGGAAGTCTCTTCTTACATTTGGAATGCAAAGGAAATAAAGGTGATTCAACTCCATGGTAGTGGCATGACGTAGCCTAGCAGTAAAGGTCTGAACTGGTAGAACAAAAAAATGGGATTGTCTGAACATTTGCCAAGGAAATAACAACAAAGTAATGATGAGCTTGTAATGTTGCATGTGTGGAAAGTGATTATCTAGTAGAAAATGAGTTATCTGATGAAGGGGAAAAACCAAGTCTTAACTTAAAAAAGAAAATTCAAATCTAGATTGGGCTGACTGTAGTAGTCCTCAAAATATGGTAATTGTTTGTGCTTCCCTACTAGTCTTGACCAATCACAGCATTTCTTACCCCCAATAAAAGAATGCTACTTTGAACGACAATTTGTTATGGCTTTGTGTGTGAAGAATGTAGTTGTGCATTTCAAGTTGCAATGTGGACTTTTCACCCTTTTAATTTATGCTCCTGATATTTTCTGACAGACTTGGGAGTCCAATTTCTGGAAAGTAAAGATTGTACTATATCCAACTCTGATATAGTAGCAATAATGTTGGAAACTTGGAGATTAAATATTTCACACTTTGCTCAGATTAATATCCTCTCTTTGTTCTTTGTGTCTTATGTTTGATATCATAGCCAATCAGAGCCCAAGCTACCACCAATCAGGACAAGTGGGTGTCCCCTCAGGGAGGCACTGTGACTTGAAACACTATTCGGCCTCAGACTTGCACCCAACCTCAAGTGAAACTTGTACATGTTATCCATTGCTAAGGATGTTGGTTGGCTTTCTGTAATGCACCAGTAAGTACCTGACTCTTCCTGCTCTTTACCTTGACAATGTCAAATCTGGCCGATAAAGTGATAATGTTGTCATATTTGAACAGAGCTGCCCAGACTTCACTCTCCAGCCTTGATAGAGTCCAAAAGATGAATTATTTTCCACCCTTCAATCTCTCTCCCAGAAAGCAGGATGCGTCAAGTCTCTCACTGTGCACAAAAAGTGCTCAAATGAACTACATTTCCTGGTCCCACCAATTCAAACCTTCATAGCAGTGACACACCATGCCACTTACATAGTAGCAAGCCACCCACCTACATTCCCTCCATCAGCAAGAAGTTCCAGACTAACAACTTCTTCCTGTGAACCACTGCTCACTGGAACAAATTCCCAAGAGGATGTTTCCATGATCACTATGATCTTACATGTTCAAGATGAGGATTAAGCATTATCTTCCACTCTGCACAAATTGCCTACTAATTTAACCCTCTACCTCAAGGGACACACAGGTCTTGTAAAGGGTGAACCCTACTGTAAAATAAAAAATAAAAAAATGCTTGTCAATCTTACTTCGTGGTAGGACATTCCCCCACACCCACAAGCAAATAAAAAAATATATTAAATACATAGAGTAGAAAGAAGAGAAAAATGGCCAATTTATTCTTTCTTTTCTCATAACGCACTTTGGAAAACTTTAAGGAATGAAAAAAAAAAAACATAAAGGAATCAGGTACTATTCTGTGAGTTATAAATAGGAAGTGAATACCATCACCATTCCATCCTGACAAGGTATGATTCCAGCACAAAGATGTTGAAAATTCTTCAAGGAAGCAGGAAGGAGAAATCAGTAGCAGGGATGTTTTTGTTTTTTTTTTCTTTTCTTTCTTTCTTTCTTACTAGTCAGCCTCTTTGGTTGTATAATAACATAAACCATTTTGGAATTAGATTACACTATTTTTTTCAACATACTAACTTAGTTGATTTTCTTTTTAATTAAATCACTCCAATTAAGGGGATTATGCCACTAAGATGCAAGGTGTTATGGAAGTGAAAGTGAATGAAAAGACTTCAAAAGAAATCAGAAACCCAATCCTAAACAAGAAACAAGGGATAAACTTCTACTCCTATTCAGAAGACTGAAGAGGAGTATGAACCAGGTGATAGGCAAACCTATCTACTCTTATTGTGGAAGAATAAATAAATAAATAAAGAGAAAATAACATTTTAAAGTTTAGGTGGAGATGTTAGAAGTATAGAGTTGAAGTAGACTTTAGAAGGAATTGGAAACACAATTTTAAACAGGAAACAAGGCATAAACCTCTACTCCTGTTCAAAAGACTGGGGAGGAGTGTGAACCAAGCCAAATACATGTATTATTGAATAAATAAAACAAATGAATAAAGAGTAAATAAAATTTCAGGGTTTAGATGGAGATGTTAGAAGTATAGAGTAGAATTAGATTTTAGAATGAACTGGTTTTTAAGACAATAACTTAGTAGATTTGACTGTTGGTTTTGTGAATTTGGTGATATAGTAATTGTGAGTTCAATCCCTGGCCAGATATTAAAGACTGTCTTCATGAAACAATGCGGGCAATAACTGAGTCATACTAAATAAGAACAAAAGATATCTTTAGACATTGACAGTGGAATGAGAACAGTCTACTTCCGCAGATTAAAGATGCAGTTTGAAATTCATTGAAGAAGTCAAGAGAGCACAAAGGCTGAAAAGTTATAACAACAAAGAAGAAGTATATTATGGCAGATACCTATTTCCTATATATATATATATAATGTGAGACATATTTCATTGAATAATTTAGACAAGTTTTGTCTATTTTCAAATGGATCCTTTCAAATTCACAAACTTTTTGGTGTCATTACTAAGTGAAGAGAGTAAAACACTATATTGATACATATTATTTATTCCAAGTACTTTCGACATTAGCACACTGCCATCATCAGGGTGTTGTTTTATTTTCAAGACAAATATTGTAGAGTTCATCATTTTCAAAGACAAAAATGCTATCTTCATTGCAGAGACTACACTGAAAAACAATACACTAACCAATGGTAAAAGCTATTGGTGGTGCCAGGGGTGGCAGTACCATCTTAGCCACTGAAACTGTGTTACTTCCCCTGGTTGGCAGTTGATGAGTGCAGGGTATTGCACATGCTTTCACATGTATGTAAAAAATTAAATGTTGGATTAAAAATAAATCCATTAATTCTTAAGAAGGATATAACCATAGTTTTATTTTTGGCTTGGTTTTGGTTTTTTTTTTCCAGCATATCAACCTCAATGTCTTATTTAATGCTGACAATATTTTTAGGATAGGTTCATATGAAGATTAAGTTTCATTGATGTATTTTTGTAAAGAGGGATTTTGTTGAGAGTGAAATCTGTTGCTGTTAATATTTTTAAAAAAATGCATTGCTGGTATTTTTACTATAAAAATCTATTTTTATACTTTCAAAGTTTTGACCCCTGTTTGGGGGTTAACTATTTACCCATAGCTGGGACCATAGCAAGTGCTACCCCACGGACATGGAAACAACGGCAATTAAGGGATGGTTCCACATTCATCAAAACCTCTTGATTAGAGACCTTGCTGCTGGTTGTAGTTTATTGTCATACCCAGGATGCACTTTGAGTTTGTTTTTGTCTATAAGATAAACAATGACAATTTGACTTAGTTCCAAAATTTCTGATCTCTTTTTGTATTTACTAGACGTTCTTCCATTGTGGTACTGTGGTTGACACCCATGTAGGAGAAGATGAAAGTGGTATTTTTTTTGTTTTAGGGCCAGTGGATAGGATTTTTGAATTGGCACCCAATTGATCAAACAGAATGAGTTGCAAAACAGTTAAAATCTAAAAAATGTCCCTAAACTGAAGTAATTTGGGAAGGTACTTTACAGGGATATATATATATATATATATATATATATATATATATATATATATATATATATATATGAACACTTGGCATGGAAACACTATGAGTATATACTTTTATAACTCACTTTTTATGTAACACATGATTATCACAGGCAAGAACTTACATTTACTCTAACAATTATATATTTAATGATGTGTAAATCATTAAAAGCCAACATAGAAAGTAAACTGATAACAAAATGTCTATAAACAATGAAAAATTACATTTTAAATTAGGGTTAAAGAAGAAAATTTTAGTTTTTAACAGCCAAATTTTTTTTTGTTTTTAAGCTAAGATCTAAGATTTTATTTGAGCAAATACTTAACCTGTATGTTATGCATCAAACATCAAGACAAAAGGGATTGTCAGTGTTCAGGAATTAAAATGTTTCGTTGGTTATTTTTGCTTAGTGGCATATCAATTTCTATAGGTTATATAATACCGAAATTTTATTGAATTATTTTGAATGATAATAATGATTTTAATGATACAAGTTTTACTAATTAACTTATAGCTGTGGCAGAGAAGAAGTGGATTCATATTAGGATATTTGTGAATATAATGAACCCAACCAGGATTGTAACTTGGCTCGCCAATTAACAATTCCAAGCCATTATCCACTACACCACCTGCAGAGCTAAGCTGGTATCCACTACACCACCTGCAGAGCTAAGCACCTGGTATTCGCAAGCGGTCATCCATCGAGGTACTAACTAGGCTCAACATTGCTTAACTTCAGTGATGGTATGGAGACTGGTGTATCAATGTAATGTGGCTGTAAGCAAAAATTAAAATGAAGTAATTATCTAATTTTAATATAGATTTATAAAGGAGCTCCTGATGTAAAAACTATATTTATCAATATAGTTTTATTGATGATCCTTATACTAGTGACTTTGATCCTCACTAGGTGGTATGTTCTATGCTATAGCACCAGGCTATGCTCCACTTAATAAATGTGCACACTGTAGAGTGTTAATATGTCTTGAATAAGCTTAGTAAATATCTTTATAAAGATTACTGGCTAAGTCCCATAATAATTATTACATTCAGTGTATGAAATGTATGTGCAAATGGAGCACTTATTATGGGACAGAGGTAACAATATTCCCTTTTTGAAAATACTGTATTTTGATTGGTTGGCAGTCATCATGTGATGTCTATGATTTAACAAATTCCAATTAGACCAGATACCTTCATACCATTTGTCTGGGAATGCTGCCTGAATGAGTCTAAAGAATATTCTTTGGAAGAATTTATCAAATATTCATCTTCAATGATTCCCTGAAAACATCAAATATAAAAAAAAAAAGATATCAACAGAAAAATATGGATGACTAGAAGAGCAACTATTTTCAAATTTTGGCATTTCTGTTTTCAGACATAGAATTTATTCTATAGCGAGTGTTGAGCAGGCTTATCTTACAAGCCATTAATAGGGAATTCAAGAATACATTTATTTCAAAATCATAAAGGTGTTGGCTCTTTTCAGTTTGTGTGTGTATATATATATATATATGTATGTGTGTGTGTGTGTATGTGTGTGAAAATATATAGAAAATAGGAAAGAACTCATTAGGTAAATAATCCAAAGTTTTTAGTATTTTTTTTTTTATATATATATATATATATATATATATATATATATATATATATATATGTGTGTGTGTGTGTGTGTGTGTGTATGTATGTATGTTTGTGTGTGTGTGTGTGTGTGTATATGCACATGTGCATATATCTGTGCACATGCACGTGTATGTTTATGTGTGCATGTTTGTGAAATTTGTTTCTTGAAGTAACAGTTCAAAAGGGAAGCTGTCCATGTAGAAATTCTTTCTTAGCAAGGGAATGAGGATGATATAACCCTGTGGATATGTTATGATGTCAGTGAAGGTCCCAAGGACAGATGGAACTAACAAATACAGATCAATTCTCATTGGTCAGTCATGTATCACATGCATTGAAACCATAGATAATTCTATATGTATGTAAGTTTGCAAAAATTCTATGTATATCAGATGCTAATGTGTATTTGCAATTGTGTATGTCTGTCAAGTAGGTGGAGTTCTAATGTTTTCATTTTGTGTGATCAGTCAGCATAGTCAGGTGGTATTCTATTAGTCTGGGACTGTTTTTTTTATATACATACACTTTGTATTAGATAGCTATAAGTTAGATTCTTTAAGAATGGATTCAAAGAAAGATGGCGATGTAATGCAATGTTTTGGGTGTCTGGCTTATAGTTGGTAATAACGTTATTATTAAGCTTTCAATATATTTTCTCCTTAAAGAATTATGTTCTTTTTTTTAATTAGGGTGGCATTAGTAAAACCAAATTTATGTCCAGTGTCGTTCCTATGCGTTACAAGTGTGCTTGATCATTTCTCGAAACACAAATCTCTCTGTTTGTAGATGTGGTTTTTAGATCATGTGATGTATCATATACATATATAGTATATTCCTTTTCTGATGTATATAAAAGTTCAAATGCTTTTAAAGGAGCTTTTTAATCATTAAATAAGAGGATTTAATTATTTTATAATTAATAAACAATAGGAATTAAATTATTTTGAACTTTCAGCATGTTTTGGATGATTAATTCATTTTCTATGACTTATCAACCCTTTTACAGGTTGTTTAAAGCCAGAAAATATTTTTAGATGATAAGAATTTTTTTGGATAGGTGGAAGATACTAATAGTTTAGTAATACAATTCTTACTAATTAATCCATAAGTTGGGAGAGAAGAGGTGGATTCCTACGTTTCTCATAGGTATTTGCACTATAGTGGATATAATGAACCCAACAGGAATTCAAACTCCACTCTCCACTTAACAATTCCAAGCCATTATCCATTACACCACCTGTACATCCAAGCTTACATTAACTGGTATACCCAGGTGGTCAGCCATCTAGATACTGACCAGATTAGACATTGCTTAACTTCAGTGAGCATACTGAAAATTGTGAAAAGAACTACAAGTCTGAGGCATGTTGAGAACAAACAAACACCCATTTTGAATCATTGCTATGCATGAAACATTGACTAAATGAAATTTTTTGTGGTACACATACATACATATATATATACATATATATATATATATATATATATATATATATATATATATATATATATATATATATGAATTTCATTGAATAATATAGACATATATATTTATTTTTATACTGATCCTTTCCAGTTCTCTAATCAGTTTCTTGATGTTAAGATGAAATTCATGAAGGAAGTCACCATAGTTTTTTTCTACCCAAGTACTTTCGAGGTTCTCCAAGATCATCCTCAGGCATAAATTACAAAGACAAACTTATAGTAACTGCGATAAAATCTGCATTTTGTTGTGATGCTGATTTTTTTAAAAAAAAACAAACATGAACGCACTCTGTTATAATTATTTTAAAATTTCAAATTTATCCGTTGTAGTTATGGAAATTTTTGCAAAATAAACGTCCCAATATAAGGGAGCTGACCTGGAATTGGTAAAAATGTAAAATGGCATTATATATTATTCAATGGAATGCACACACATTATATATATATGGATTTTTCATTAAAAACGACAGACAAGGTACTACAGTTGAGCTTTTTATTTAATTTTTCTTGTGTTCTGACAAGAGCTTTCTTTTCTGGACAAAGGGTGTGTAAGAACTGTCCGAATGTTTTGTATTTCTGAGTGCTTTCAGCTATACCATTAGCCATTATCAAGGATGATTCGATTATCAGCTTAGTAGAGTGTGTGTGTTCTGTGTATGTTCAGTGTGTCATAGTGATGTTTTTAATTTCCGAATACGGTTAGCACATTATGGCCTTGTTCATAGTTAATATTGTTAAGAGTTGTTTTTTCTTTTTTATTATTAAAGCTTTCATTATTTTTAATCTTTTTTTTACAGGTGAATGCACTTAATATATTTGTGTTTTCTACTAGTATGTTTCTAATGGAGTCTGGTAAGTTTGTGTGTGTGTTTAAATGGTTTCTAATGGAGCTGTGATCAGGTAGGTGTAACGTAAGCCGTCTGGATAAGCATGTAGTTGTGTAACTGATGTAATTATTTATGAGTCCGGTTTGATCAGGAACACAGTTCCTTAAGGGGTATTTGAACTCATAGATAATGTTCGTTCTTTGTAATTTTGACTTAGTTGGTGTGTTGTTATTTTTGAGGATAAGGTTAGCTGTCTTAAATTTTTTATAATAGATAATAAATTTGGGTTTTTTTATTCGGGTCAATTGGGGTAGTGTATTTCTTTATAATGTCTTAGTGAAGATTTGTCTTGTTTGTAATTAATGTGCATTTGGTTTTTGTAATAAATGTGTATGTAATTTTTGCCTGTGTGTTCACTATCGTTATTACTTACTATGGGAAGAAATAGTCTAATTTGGTGATCTATAAGCTGGTTAGGGAAACCGTTGTTAATTAGTGTTTGTTTAACATTATTAAGTTCTTTGAGGGAGAGTAGTCGAGAGGATGAATTCTGCTGTGCTCTTTTTAGAAAGTTTTTTTATTACTGCTATTTTATACCTAAGTGAACATTCGCTTTTAAAGTTAAGGTGGCGTGAGTTTTTGCTAATGGGTGTTTTATATAATGATGTAATGAAAGTGTTATTGCTGTATTCTACGAGGACATCTAAGAATGGAAGTTTTTTTTTGTGATAAGTTCATAGGTAAAGTTAAGGATGGAGTTTTTCTCAAATGTGCTCTTAAGTGTATCTATTTCTTTAATGTTATTTGCTAAAATAAAAATATCATCTACATAGCAAACATATATTTTCGGTTTATCGACCTGTGTAAATATCGTATTTTCTACGTGGGACATGTAATAGTTAGAAAAGCATGGACTGAGTGGATTTCCCATATTAACATATATTAAGTGTAAAAAAAAGATTAAAAATAATGGAAGCTTTAATAATAAAAAAGAAAAGAAACAACTCTTAACAATATTAACTACAAACAAGGCCATAATGCACTAACCGTATTCAGAAATTAAAAACATCCCTATGACACACTAAGACATACACATAATGCACACACTCAATTAAGCTGAAAAATCAAATCATCCTTGATAATAACTAAAGATATAGCTGAAAGTGCTCAGAAATATAAAACATTTGGACAGTTTTTACACACTCTTTGTCCAGAAACGAAAGTTCTTGTTTGAACACAAGAAAAATTAAATAAAAAGCTTAACCGTAGTACCTTGTCTGTTGTTTTTAATGAAACATGCATAAACGAAGGATTGCTGCCTATATATATATATATATATATATATATATATATATATACACACACATTTTCCACATGAGTAGCACAACTGAGTTTCATGCACAATCCATTTGTCAGGTACTGATCGAAAACTGCCTGTTGCATAATTTGAATATGGATATTTATACTGTACTGTCATGATAATGGAGCATTCCATTTATTTAGGGGATAATAAAATAATAAAATAATATATATATATATATATATATATATATATATATATATATATGAGTGTGTGTGTGTGTGTCTGCATTTGTATATTTGAAACTATGTATTAGATGTGTATATTTGTATTTAAATTATAGTTATATATTGTATTTGAAAGTATGTGTATGTGTGTGTGCATACATATATATATATGTGTGTGTGTGTGTCTTCATATGTTATGATATTTGTGTATACACTTGTATTATATTTGAGACTACATATTAGATGTGTATATTTGTATTTGAAGGTATATATGTATTTGTGTGCGTATATATATTATTTTT